ATGGCTCTTGGTTGGCGCTTCTGTCTCCTGGCCTCTCCTTGACTCTGTATCTCTGACACGTCTTTTTTCTATCTCCATCTATCTCTCTCTGTCCCTGTGTCTACCAGTCATTCAGTCCTGGTTTCTCTCTATCCACCCTTCTCTCTCTCTCTCTCTCTGTCGCCTCTGGTTCTCTCCCTCTGTCTCTGTGTCTTTCTCTGTTTTCTCTGCTTGTCTGTCTCTCTCACCCACTCACACTTCAGAAAACAACACTGTAGGTGTATTTTTTTTTCCCATTGGACATAGCTTGGGTGTGCGCAGAGAGAATCACAGACATTTGCATGTCTATCTCTGGGTTCTGCCTCCTACACCAACTCCCAGGGCCTGGAGAATCCTCTCTTCCTTTCCAAACCCACCCATCCTTCATGTCAGCTCAGTAGCCCCTCTTCCAGGAGGGCCTCTTTGATTTTCCTTAGGCCTTTATCACACTTGCCCTCGCCTCCTTACTGGATCTGGCCCACTGCTAGGGTCTCTGGCTCTCTCCAGGTTGAGTCGGGGCAGAAAGGAACTCCTCCCTGGGTCTGACCAGTCTGGACACGTGGGAAAAAGGCAGGCAGGCTGGCCAGTGACCTGACCTGCCAGTGCTTGGTGACGGCATTCCACACCCCGATGCGCCCTGTGTGGCTTGTGGCGATGAGCTGGTTCCCGACGAAGAATAAGGCCTCCACGGGCACCCCCAGATGGAAGACTCCTGTGGAGGGCGAGGAGCACTCAGCCAGGACCCCCCTTCACAGGGGAGAAGAAGGGTGACAGGAAAACCTCCAAGGGCCAGAGGATTCAATTGGGTCATGGAATCTTAACAGGATGGAGGATTCCAGCAGGAATTACAGAGGATTACAATGAGCCAGATGCCTGATAGGGTGTGGGACTCTAAAGGGGTGTGGAATTCTAACACAGCTGAGATTTTCAACGAAGGCCAAAAAAAAAAAAAAAGAACTATGGGCAGCACAGGCTTCTCACGAGGATTAAGATTTGTGAGGGAACAGATTAGCCTACAGAGTCAGATTTCTAATGGGAACAGATTCTAACAGGCCCAGGGATTTTACTGGCATGGAGAATTCTAACAAAGCAGAGATCTGAGAGGATGGTGAATTCTGATGGAGGAGAGAACTCTAGGTGGGTGGATTTTTCTACCAGGCCAAGGAATTCTAACAGGATATGGAATTCTTATGGGTGTGAGAACTGTGTAGGGTGGGTTGTTTTAACAGGCCACAGGTTGGAATATAATTCTAAAGGGCAAAGGCTGGGGGGAGGGGAGTGTACAGCTCAATGGTAGAGCGTGTGCTTAGCATGCACAAGGTCCTGGGTTCAATCCCCAGTACCTGCATTAAAAGTAAATAAATAAATCTAAAGGGCAAAGGGTTCTGGGAAAAGCTGGATGCCCTACCTATCTCAGAGCCACCGCCTTCTGCCTGCAGAGCCCACAGCAGGATCTCGCTGCCCATGGCCGCTGCCACCATCTTGTCATGCTCACCCAAAGCCCCACTGAGCACCCGGGCTGTGAGTGCCAGTCGTTCAATGGGCCAGTCCAGGCGGGGACTGGAAAACACCAGCTGCCAGCCAGAGGCTTCCTTCAGCCTGGAGGATGGGGACATCGTTAACTGTCACCCTGAGCCTACCCCATCCACAGGGCTCAAGGCCTCCTGCTACCGCCCTCCCTGAGCACCTATAGCAGACAAGGAACTGGGTATAGGCCACGGCGATCCAGTTGTGGTGTCCACACACCAGGCGCACCATCCCTGGCTCCTCGGGTAGCCCTTGTGGGGAAAAGCAGGGATCAGGTTGGGGTCCCAAGGGCCCACTGGCTACTCTAGTCTCTCAAGAGACAGATACATACCTGACGGGGAAGGAGGGGCTTTCTCATCCAGCATTCGGCCCAGCAGCCCTGCATTGCCCAGGTTGGGGGGCATCGTGTTGCTCCGGCGAACAGGAGCTGGGCGCCCCCCTGCTTGCTGGGGCCCTGCCAGGCTGTGCCGGTTCCGCCGCTTCACTGGGAACACTATGGCAGGGAAAAGGGACAGAATGACAATAATTGTAATAATCACCACATTATAAGCATTTAAAATGTGCCTGATACTGATTTTCCCACATGGGGAACATCGTCTCCTGGCAAAAAGATTTTAGGTGGTGCAGGGACGTGGCATTACATGACACTGAATCACACAGAGAGCTTTGCAGTTTCTTGGAGCCTATCACAAAGTAAGAATTAGTTTGGTGTGGCCATGATATCGATACCTCTTCAATATTTGCTAATTTCTCCTTTTAAGAAATGGAAGCCTGTCCCCTTGGCTATCGATACCTCTTCAATATTTGCTAATTTCTCCTTTTAAGAAATGGAAGCCTGTCCCCTTGGCAGACAACAGCATCTACCCAGAGTTAATTACACTGTTATGTTTGGGGATTATTTTTATGTCTACTAATTTATGGCATAAAGGTAATGATAAGAAGCTTTTATTTTAAATAATTTTTTAATTTAAAAAATTTAAATAGAGATACTGGGGACTGAACACAGGACATCGTGTGTGCTAAGTATGCACTCTATCACTGAGCTATAATCACCCCCACAAAAATTTTTTTAAAAAGACAGGGTCAAACTAAGTTAAGAGAACAACAGTATAGGTCTTCATATTTCGCAAACTTCATGAAAGTAGTAGGTATTGACTGAGGTTAGGGAAATAAAGCCATAAATCGAATTTCCCCACTCTGTTCCTTTCACCAAACAGCAAAGCCTAGTGGACTACAATTTCTAAAACCACTAGGGCATATTTTCCATGGCCAGTGGGCTGGCTGCTCCAAGGTCTCATGGAGATTATAGTCAATAACTTTCCTTTAATATTTCTCCCCTCTGTGAAAAAGACACAAGTCTTTCTTGAGTCTCCCTACAAGGAAATCAAGCCTAGACTACAACTCCCATCGGGCTCTAGGGCATGCTTCTGAGCCTCAAGGGGGTTAAGCTTGGCCTACTGCCTCACTGGAAAAGCTGTTTCCTACTTCCTTTCCAAGCATCAGTCCAAGTATCTGCTATAGAACTACAACTCCCATAGCGTCTCAGGGTTCATAGCCCAGGCACCCAAGGGCTGCAGCCTTATGGGAAATGTAGTCTTTAGCCACCCCTTCACCCCCTCCATTCTTTAGTAGTTCCCACCTGGCGGAGGCAGGTAACCATTGAAGAGGACGTTTCCACAAGAAGATCGATCCAACTCTTCCCTCAGCTGCAGACGTCGAACTGAGGTGGAAGGACTCAAAGGCTGGGACTTGGGGAACACTGAGGAAGATCCCTTTTTCCCTCCCCCCTTTCTTTCTCCACAGAACACCACCACTCTCCTGAGACCCAGAACCAAATCCAGTGCTCTCAGCTCTAACTCAACCTTCTTTCAGGAGAGAAGGGAAAGAGGGAGCATCACTAGAGAGCTGGTTTTCTATACAATGAGGATGTTAAGGGGGGCCGGCCCCACTTACCCAGAGGAGTAAGCCCATAAAACTGGGCTTCGTGGAGGAGGCTGGAACCATGGACACCCCTGGGTAGCAGAATTGACTAGGGGTCAGAGTCTCGTGAGTGGGAGTGGGCAGAGAATTCTAGGAGGAAGTTTTCGAAACTGCACAGAGAATCCCAAGGGGCAGCAAATTCTAATGGGATCAAGATTCTAAACAGCAATGATTTGGGTGGTGAAAATGTGTGTGTATGTGTGTGTGTTTGCGGGGAATTCTAAGGACACAATTTAAATATGATCAAAGAGCTTAATGAACATTCTTAGAGGAAGAAGAGCCTTCTCAGGGGTGAAGACGGTGGGGGAATCCCCTTTATCATCCATGCCAACCTGGGGTCCAACTCTTTGGTGCGCAGGAAGTTGAGGATGGGGGCGAAGACGGTGGGGTCCCTGTCGATGAAGATCTGCAGGGAAGGGGAAGGGATGATGGATGGGACAAACTGCGGGGCTGAGTGGGGATTCTGTCCCTCCTCCTACCGGCTGCCCCCTTTCAGCTTTGCTCTACTCACGGCTCCAGTCTCATCCTTCAGTGTCGAGATGCGTCCGCTCAGAAGACTGCAGAAAGGGGACGTAGAACAGGTGTCACGGGCCGGAGTGCGTGCGTGAGGGCAAGATTACGTCTCCCCATGCCCTCTCCTCCCGCCCCCCACCCCAAACTCGCTCTCCCAATCACCTGGAAAAGAAAGAGTCCGGGATCCAGGTGAGAGTCTGGCGAGAGGTACTGAATCTTCAGGACGGTGAGCAGGCGCGAGGTGATAGGAGGATGAGAAAAATGCGTTCCTCAGTCCCAGGACCGGGTGAGTTCCCTCCCCTACCCGGGCGCTTTCCCTCCCCTACCCGGGCGCGGGTCTAGGCTCCCGCGCCTCCAGGAGGGGGCGGAGCAATCCTTGATGGACAGGAATCCCCCCCCCCGGGAGGAGAGGGTACTCCCACCCGACTTCCCGCCCACGAGAGTAGGAATATCCTACACTCACCTCTTGCCTCCCACGTTCAGATGAATCACCTCCCCGGGAGTCCCCCGACCTGGGACCCCATCTGCTGCAGGGGCCGCGGCTGCCATGGCCCCCCGGCTAGCCGGCCGGCCTGCACCCGCTTCCGGGTGTGCGCGCCCCGCCCCCACCGCGTGCTCATTGGGCCGGAGACTACCGGAGCCACCCGCGATTGGGCAAAGCGCTCACCCATCGCAGTTAATTTCTCCGCCTCCTTAAAGGGGCCCGCCTTTCCTGTCCTGGACGGGGCGGACCCAGCGGCTCTTTGGGAGAAGTTTAGGTACTACGGATAGCAAAACGTTCCTCCATCCCCGTGGGGCTCCCGATTTAGGAAAGGCATCTAGGTGTTTCGTCAGGGGCACGTGTTTAGACCTGAAATTAGTCCACACCAAGAGGGACATCAAACTGTTCTCCGCAACTCAGTTTCTTCCCCTCGCTCCACCCAACCCTCTCGGGTGCAGCCCATTAAACACGAACTAGCATAGACCGTCAAAGCCAAAGGATTTATTATAGGTACATAGAGTTTGCGCCCGCCACACCGCCCCCACACTCCTGGGCCCCCAGCGGCTTCTCCAAGCGGCCATGGGGGCTGCCCACAACCCAGTCCCCCTACTCCCCAGGGAGGTGCTCCAGCCAGAAGCATGCAGGGGGAGGGCTTCCCCTCGCCCCTCCCCTCACGAAGTGGCATTTACAGTTGGAGGGGGGAGGAGAGAGGAAGACAATTTAGAGCTTTGACGCCCCTCCCATTTAAAAGCCTTCGCGGATGCGGGGCGGGGGAGGAGGAGGTCGACATTTTGCAAAAATAAACTAAGTCAGGAATTAACCGCATGGCTCTGAGACGGCGGAGTGCGGAGGCTAGGGCCCCTTCACTCCCCCTTCCCAGACAGAGATCAAGGCAGCATTGGAAGTGAGGTAAAGGCGGGGAGGGGGCGTCCCCTCCCCACCCCCTAGCACCCTGGATGGTCCAGGGGACCTCACCAGCGCCCCCCATGCCCATCCCTAGGGCAGAGAGCGGGTCGGGAATTATCGCCCCTACCACCCCAGCTTCTTGGGGCAGGATCTGGGCATCGGGGCAGGGAGTTTCGCTCAACTGGCCCCTTACCGGCCCCCGCCCAAGCTCAGTTATTGCATAAAAATAATGAAGCCCCAGCACCTGGGGTGGGGGTGGCGAGCAGGAAGGGGCCGAGATATGGCTATAGGGGCAGCAATTCCCCCAGCACTTCTTGGGGTGCAGGAGAAATCCCCTCCTTTCCAGTGCCCGTCCATGGCGCGTCCGCAGTGTTGGTGGGACTAGGGGCTCCCGCCCCTGCGGAAGAGAAAGTGTCTTTGTGCCCACAGTGCGGAGAGGAGGAGCGGGGAGGTGTCAGGCCCTGGGGGTAGTAAGTCACTTCCGGCGCCCGCTGGCCCTGCGCTCTCCTGCTTCCCTCTTAGGGTTGCCCTCATCTGTAGACGACGTTGTGGGTAGCGTCTGGCCCCAACGGGCGATCTCCGCGTGTTCCCCAACCGATGTGGCCACAGCCTCCAGCCAGCCATTCATCTCCTCCTGGAGAGAGAAACAGGGCACACAGTCTGTGTTTGGAAGAGAGGAGACTGAGTAATAGATGAGTCTGGAATCAGACTATCCTCTCTGAACTTCAGTTTCCTCATCTATTAAACAGGATAATGATGATGATGATAATGATGATGATGGTGGTGGTGATGTAGTTACATAGCACTTATTTTGTGCCAGGCTCTGTTCTAAGCACTTTTGTGGATTAATTCACTTAACCCTATGCAATCGGAGTATATCTAACTCCCACTATAGAGATAAACAACAAGAAACAATAAAATCAGCAGACACTTAGAGAGCACTGACATTTTCCAGACCCTGTAAGGACTCTTCCTATATCAACTTATTTCTCATATTAACCCTATGATGGAAAACTATTGTTATCTCCATTTTGAAGATAAATTGAAGAGGCATGGAGAGCATAAAGGCCTACTTCATAGCCTCTTGTTACTATTTTCAGCATCTCTTCAAACTGCTTCCACATCTGCTCCTCCTCTTGCCCTGGCCCAGACTTGTGTTCTCCCAATTGGGCCCCTGCCCTAGTCACCTCCTGTGCTCCACACCTCCACTCTTACCCTCTCCAATCTACCCTGCACATGGTAGCTAAAGGGATCTTTCTTCTGCCTCACTGTAACCCTCCCTTGCTCAAAGAGCCTCTGCCATGTCACCCTAGTGCCCTGAGAATAAACTCCAACCTCCCCCGAATGGCCCACAGTGCTCTTGGAGATCCAGCCCCTGGGAAACTTCCTCCTTGAACTCCAGCAGAGTTAACCCTTTGCAATTCTGTACCTCTGGATCTTTGAACTTGCAGTTCTTTTTTTTTTAAGCTAACTCTCTCCTAACTTTCCAGTCTCACCTCAGAAGCCAAGGCAAGGAGGCTGGACTTTGTCCTGGGGCCTCCAGGCAGCCCTCCTGATCTTCCACCTCCCCCCAGCTGGATTAGGAACTCCTATTGGGCTCTCACTGCCCATTGGCTTTCCCACTGCAGCCCTGGTAACTCTGGCCTGTGCTTCCTCTCTTCACAGCCCCGTCCCTGGGTCAGGAGCCAGCCAGCTAGGTGGTTCCTGAAGTCTGAATATAGGACAGAAATGAACAGATCTCACCTCATCTTTAGCCTGGAGCAAAAACTCACTGCCATCCTGGGTCCTGTGGGAGAGGACACAGAACTTGGGGGCTCTAGGGCAGGGGACCAGCCCACCCATCCACCAACTATCCCCCACTGGAGCAGGGTATTGCTGGGAGAGGGAAGCTGGGTCTTGGACCCTCCCTCTTGCCCATTGTGGGGGCTCACTGGAGCTTGAAGACGTGCTTCTTTTTCTTGTAGTCACTAGCCACCTCGCTGGTGGCCTTGTGCAGGCTGAGCAGTGGCTCCCCGCCGTGTGTGCCCCCGGATGCTGGGCCCTTGGCGTCCTTGTAGAAGCCCAGCTCCCCCTTGCTGAGCACGCAGTACAGGCTCACCCACGACCTGGGGTGACGAGATGGGGCTCAAGGCAGAGTCGCAGCTCTGCCTGGGTACTCTTCATCAATACCTTTCAAGGGCTGACTATACCTGAGCCTTCCTCCTTCTAGGCCGTTGCCCCAGTAGGGCCTGGAGTGTTCTTGCTTATGGCTGCTCCTGAGCTGGGGGGAGAGTCTAAGTCCCGCGGTACCAAGTCTTTGCCCAAGCTGGTCCCTGCTGGGGCTGCCCCTCCTTATCCTCAAGCTGTCTCCGCCACAAGCTTTTGCTTGGGCATTTTCCTCACCATTCATCCAACCCCCACCCCAATCACCACGGAATCCCCTAAAGGGAGATCTATTAGCTTACTGGTCACCCTGTCTGGAATGAGGAATTCTTGTCTCCCCATTCAGCCAAAGCCCCAACAGAGAAGAAAGTCTCCCACGAGCAAACCACACCCAGGTGCCCATATTTATTTTCACCTTGGTCTCAGCACAAGGAGGAAAGACTGCCTCCAGGCCCCAAAAGCAAAACCTCAATCTGTTCCCCCCATTTCATTCTGTTTGCTCAACACTTCCCTTTTGGGCTCCACCTCTCCCTAGATTCAAAAAAGGCTGGACAACCTGCAGTCGGACTCCAAGAGTAGATACATCACTGTTAGATACTCATTTGGAAACCTATATGACATGCTCCCTATCTCTTAGCCCTCAGTTTGGGATCTGCCCCTTATCAGACCCTCCCTCAACTTAAAATTGAATGAATGGACCCACCCCACTCATTGGTTGAAGGACCTCTCCAGGCTCCACCTCACGAGTCATGAGAACCCTCCAGCTAGACCCCACATCCAGTTTGCTATAAGCTCTAGTTAACTCCTGCGTTGGTTTCCGTGAGATTGAGTTGCAATTTATTCACGTTCGTAACATTTTCTTAGGTCCCGACCCCATGTAAGCTCCACCGGCTCACCCATTGGACACACTAACCTTAGGCCCCGCTCCTCCGGTTCATTGATTGATTCTTTGAAGTTAAGGCTCCGTTTTTCAGGCCCCGCCTACCCAGCCACCGGTTGGATGCCCTAAAGTTTAGCCCCACCCCCCCGTCCACCGGCCCACTTATTCATTCATTGGGCACTGAGCTTGGGACCCACCTTCCAAAGCCCCGCCCACACGCTCACCGGTTGGACGACTTGCGGTTAGCGTCGAGCTCGCGCTTGCGCAGCAGGAAGC